CGTAACAGGATACGCGTGACCCCGATTATGTCGGATTATAGGGAAAAAAGTTAAATAATCGCGCCTCGAATATCATTCACTCCACCCTCCACCCTGGTTTTTCGACTACCCGGCCACGCGAGGAAAAAGTTAAATCCTCGCAGCGAGAGCGATCTACTCCCCTCGCCAGTGGCTCGCTGATGCGAATCCAATTCTTCATCTTGACGTCTGTCATCGCGAGGAAAAGCGACGACACTTATCTCTGGACGATACTTCTCGAGGTGGAGACGATCTGTGAAAGGGGAAATTTTGAGGAATTATACTCGACAAATTGTTATCGGAATAGTCTTCTCGCCTGTCAACTTGGTAAACTGTTCCATTGTTTCGAAAGTTGGGAAACCTTGCGAAGTTTGACGATGGTCCTTCAGAGGTTGTTCTTCTTCTCTACGAGAGTATCGCATTGTGTATCTTCATCTGTCTCGAGTTCTTTGGATAATGTCTTCCTATCTAAAACGGAAGAGTATATATTCCTTTATTTAAAGAAGAATGTTGATATACCACGCGAGGCACTTATCTACATCGCCAAAAATATTATCGGTCCTGTTACCAACATACCAAAGCACACGAGGGAGAAATTGTTTGGACGGAAGGAGCAAATATTTTGGCGGCTAGAACAACTCCCCGTGGATCTAGCGTCACGACGTCTAGAGCTCATCGATGTCCCCGTAAGTGGACCAACGTACACAATTCGTCTCGAAGGTTTCTACACTTTCGTTAAAATAACAGTTTTACACGAGGTATAAGTAATTTTTATTTATTAGCCTACACTAACTATGGGAACAGTACAAACGTCTCCGAGGCTATTCGTCGGCAAGTCGTTGTTTTTAATTCGAACTAGGAAATTGGAAATCATAGTTTTCCACTTGAAATGTATCAGGATTTCTTTTTACGTATTAACATTAAATTAATTTGCGTATATACAGTCAGTATCATAAGTATCGGTACCCTACTGAAGAAATTTGTCTAAATTAAATGACAGGTTCGATAGACATCACGGATGGTATATATTTATAATATAAAATTTATTTTGAAACTTCAAACCCATCAATTAATTTATACAAATGTCTTCGATAGACATAGAAGGTACGAATATCTATGGGATCGACTGTATGAGATTGCCTATTAATATTTAACAACGACGCCGTCTTACTATTTACAGTAATTTTCAGTGTAGGGTTTACGTTTGCCTCTCAAACATCACCCAATTTCCTAAATGAAATGCTACAGTGCGCAGCTCAGATGTTTGTGCCCGCGGGAGGTACTTGACGATACGAAATTTGTTCACATTAACGGAAATGCACGTGCAACGCTTCGACTCCGAATTGGTAGAATACACGTTACTAATGTCATTTTATCAATTGAAATCCTCGCGCCTTCCCTGCATCTCTGGTTGCGTGTACGAATCTCGAGTCGTCAAGCGTACCCTTTAGGCGCAAACATCCGAAATGCGAATGGTACACAATTGGGCGAAAATTGGGTTAGCTAAGGCCATGAATACCTTTGAAAAATCAAGATACTTCTATAAACTTAATAACGGGGCTTTCGAAGCGGTGACAGATGATCATTGATCTTCGCGCTTGAAATTATGGTTTGAAATATCCATCTCTCATAAATTAAAGTTTCGAAATGCGCAATATTTTCTAGGGCACACTAATATTATCGAAGTCCCGAAACCCCCCAATCTCCTCGAATTCTCGTCTAACCGAATATTTCACGCAGGTTTGCGTCCTCTTCCGCGTTCTTCTCGACGGTGTAATTTACAAACCACGCTTTCTAAGCTAGCATCTCGGAATTTCGAAGCTTCCAGGTTTGCTTAGCAGCTGCTCGAAAGACTCGAAAGTTTCTCTCGCAAAATATGCATCCCTGTAGCATCTGGCGTCGTTTCTGCCAAGCAACACGTTTGGGATAAACATTGGGTTGAACGAAAAGCTCGCTTGTATCGATGAGGTAGCTTAATGATTTTTTTCGAGGTGGTCTCTAGGTTCTTTTTATTAGCTTGAAGTAGCTTTACGATTCCTTTTTTCCATCTTTAAGCTAGCTGTGCGAATCTTCCACCATCGAACTTGCCACTCGACCAATCATCCCTATCCTTGTCCACAATTAACCGTTGAAACGTAACCCGTGCTAATAGCGCCGACATAAAGCGATTCGATCGAAGTTATTCGCGTCTAAAGCTCGACCCACAACCATCCATCGCGAGAATCGACATCGGACTTTTCGTTCAGCCCGATACAACAATTCGTCGAACGTGCTCGAAACCGTACCAAATCCTCCCCAACAAATAGTCGAGGCTTCGCGGAACCCGAGGCTGAGCGGCGATCATTAAGCTATCTCGAGCTCGCAAGCCAATCGGCTTAGCTTACATCCAGTTCAGCTGGTAGGCTAACAAGGCCCTGGATAAGATTAGACTGCCAATCCGTTCCCATTATCAGAGGCGAAATTTCACCAACGATACAAATCGTCACGCGACACAGTCAGTCCTCTTCAGCAGCTCGTCGTGTCGTCAGGTTCTGGGTTCATCTCTCTCATCCTGTGTTTGTCGACGAGTCCATCCATGTTACGCTGTTGGTAGAAAGTTCATCGGGTAGATGCAACGCGGAGCTGGGTCATTCTTGACCCATTGACAAAATCCTTTTGAAAACATCAGGCCCCATCGCGAACGTGTTAAAGTGCAAATCGTAAGCGCAGGTTACGTTATCGTCTAGAGAATCAAATGAAGAAGGAACGCAGTTCCACGAACGATGTTGGATTGATCCCAACTCAGCCATAAAACGGTACGAGTAAAAATTGACCCAGCTCCGCAGGCGATTAAGTAGCCGCGCTATTCCTATAGGAATAACATCGCGAGTCCGTCACGCCATCAGTTCGCATCATCCATTAGCGTTCTTTTGCATCGTTAAGCTCCTCGGATGGAGTCGATCGGGATTTCCACCTTACATGCCCGGATAACGCGAACCACGCAGAGCTTCCCATTCGATTCTTCGCCAGCACTCTCCACCCCGCCACCCCTCTTGCCACCCCACAACCCCCTGGCCCCGCCCCAAAAGTAACCCCGAGAAATCTTTAGTTCTAGCCGAAGCGAGTCCTTAGTCTAGCGGTAGCGCTGAACTAGTAGTGGTCAGCTTTAGATGATAGAGGATTCATTGAGTGTCCACGCTTGTTCGAGCCTCCGTTCACCCAAACCCCGTACCCGCGATCGAAGAGTAAAGAAAGACAGCCCTAGAGAAGGATTGACGAGGGACGAGGCGACAATCGATCGCCAACGATCGCGCGTTCATACACACGTCTGCTTTCTCTATGAACGTACTCTTTTACTGTCAGTCTCTGTTCGTCCGGCTTTCAGACGATATACAAAGTGATACGCTTCGCTGAACGACCTAGAACAACTCGTGAACTCCTCGTGTGAACGTGTCGAACGGAGATTGCGTGGGCTCTAACGGGATCACATGGTGCAACGATACCGGCTTGTTGGTGGTTTGTTTAATCGTTGAAGCTCAGGAACACCCTCAGTTTTCGCGACGAAACGTCTGACTATTTTGGTTTGTTTATCACTATATCGATTACAACCAAAGAACTGAAGGTGATCTTGTTTCGACCAAAAAAAAAAAAAAAAAAAAAAAAACAAGGTACCAATGAACCTGATCCTTGTACCTTAAGTTATTCCACCTAACGTTATGCTCCGGATACTGTGCTCCTATTTCAGGAAATTACGAAGAAATGTTCTTCTGAAATGTTGCATCGTCTTTCAGGGACACATGTCTCTTCCTTCGTGTAAATCCACGCAACTTTTATAGAAAGCACTCTTCCGTAATTCCAGAAATAGAAGACAACTTTTAGTCGGCAAAGTTAGGTGGAACAGACTACGCGTTCCGTTTAATGCCACGAAGTTTTTGTTTGAAAGTCGTTCCGGACAACGAGCGGTTTACGAGTAATTCGACGTCTATGGCTTAAATGAATCGCCCTGTATGTGGGGAATTCGTGAGAAGAGGTCGCTGTTTTCGGAGATGTTAGTATTAAAAATAAACACATAATTATTATTACGTGGTGATAAAGCTGTTTGAACCAACGAGTACAAAATCATACCTAGATACTCGAGAAGTTGACTATTGTACTTGTCAATGTAAAATTCGTCAAAGATGGAAGTTGTTTGCATCGGTAAGTCAAACTAATAACTGCCGTTTTGAGTGAGTTTCTGTAGTCTGGTTCAGCAGATAAGATACGGCTTTCAAAGTTCGAACAATCGCGAGGATCAGTTGTATGTGACTACGAAACTTGAGAGAGCGGTGTTGACCACTATACAGGAAATTTCTGTCGCTTTGATGATCCCAGGTCCTTGGAGTTGATGTCGTTTCGGAGGTTCCAGATATAAGACGCGTCGTTTTGGAAGAGTGTTTCAAAGTTACGCAAACATGGCTCTTAGCTTCTTCGGTTTCGGGATCCGAGTATCGTCAGTGTTTGAAGATTCGCTCGTGAAGCCAGTTGCATTCCTGGTGAATTACCCAGGAACTTTTCTATATGTCTATTATCTACAACTTTATTAAAATCACTCAAACACAAATAAAACACGTTGGCTTGCGTAGTTAAAAGTTACACCGAAGCATAAGAATGCATTTAAAAACGTAATTCTTCCAAAATGGCATCGACTAGCTTTTGAAAATCTCGAACGACCCTCCGTCAGCCTTAAATTCGAAACCGTGAACCGCCCTAGCAGCGGCAGTAGCGTACGAGTGTGTTTAAACAGCTTTATCTCCACCAATGTTAAAAGAATCGATCATAGGGAGTCTATAACGTCGTCTCTCGAAGCATCAATCTCCACCTCCCGAATCACCCTGTGTACACACCTTGTCTCTTCTCACGTAATCCATAGTTAGCCTTGTCTTTAGTCACCCATTAAACACTGCACCTGTGCCTATGTAAAGAGTTCTTGTGACCGAATAACAACGTGCTAAAAACACGCCCAGTTCCCCTGGTGGTGCAAATCGTCGTCGACGACAATGCCGACGACTCCGCCGCCGCCCATGGCCATGGTAACCGGTCCAGGGTCTGGTTCCGGTCCTCAGGGCGCCCAGGGGGTCGTACTCTGTCCACGTACGCTGTCGCAGGTCCGACGATCACGACTGCGAAGGGCCCTCACCGAGGCGACCGCCGAGACCGTCAACTACGTCAAGACGGTGGGAACGATTATCCGATAAGACCATAATAATGCCTGAATAACCACCTACACCGTATTGTATCTTGCATCAAACACACACGGACGCACAGACATTGCCACCGCGAGGGCTATGTTCTTTTGGCGTTTACTTTTTTCCTACAAATACACAGTGTCCTATAACTGGCGAAACAAGCGAATAGAGGGCGATTGAATAGAACATGGAGAATAAATCGCTTGTACCACCAGTTACGGAACACCGTGTATAACTATGGTTCTGCGAAGCTAAATCCGTACGCAGAGGTAAAATTCCAAAATTAAATTACCTCGGGAATTGGCTTAAAGAATTGATTTTCTTCGAAATTAATTTTTTCCAATCAATTCCAAAAGAACACAGCTACTGTGAGAAGGAACCGATGATACTCTATTCACGTATTTCTCTGCAAAGAATGTCGGCGACCGAGAACGAAACCCTACGATCCTCAATTCTGACGAGAGGCTGACCAGCTTTTTAGGTTTCTCTCGGGATGATTGAGTTTCGCTGAATTTATATTAATACAAAAATTATCGAATAATTCTCGCTCCTTGTGTGGTTTCTCGGTGAAAGGGGAGACTTTTCGTTGGCAATGGGAGCAAATGAAGTAGAATGGCTTCGTTGACTACACAGTTTATAAACGGACATATATTCCAGGAGTAACATCGTGTACAAATTCGAAAATGTTCCACGTGTTATTTCTAGAATTTTATTCCGAAGAGGACGATTAGATGCCTGGAACGTCGATGTGTAAAATAAATAATTTTTATTACTTTTCAACTGTATGATTTCAAGTCATTTGCAGAATTGTAAGCGACTTTTTATCGAATACTATCGTATTTAGTCTTTTAAATAGGAAAATAGAGCTCGTCTCGGATCAAATTTAAATTAAATCGCCAACAAATTCCGCGCTTTCAACCTCTTTGCAGAGAATCGTCCCCAGATCGTATCGTGGTTTCGACCTTACCCTCGACACTCGCATACGCGCAATAACTATGCGGCATGCATTTTATCGCGCGTACGCGCGGCTATGTCTCCGGCCACGTAGTTAGCGTCACTGACCTATAGAGTATGCCTCTCACCATTATTCACAACCACGCTATGAAGTATTGCCGCCAATCCATCAACTTACTTCTCTCGCCAACCATGACCCGCATTCTCGAACGATCAAAATACCGAAAAAAGGATGTGTTATAAAATGAAACTTCGCGTCCCTGCTTCGTTCTCCGTTAAAGTTCTTTTGGCGACGAGCGCTCTCGACTTCGAAAGGTAAGCCAATTCACCATAGCGATTTCTTCGACGAGGAAACCGCGTCGCAACGATAAGTGCATCAAACTGTTCAACTTGAAAATTCTACTCCGATATTGATAGAAAAGGTAATGCCAAAATATAAACATTTACTTAGACCTAGGAGACATGAAATTTAATCGATCGATACTTGCGCTTTTAGTGTATAGTGTTATTGAGAACGACGGAGATAGCAGATGCTAGTTTGGAGTTGAAAAGGAAATGCAATTCTAAGGAAGAAAGTTCTAATTAATATATATATACTTCAAAGCATATAAAAACTTCTACCGAAACTTGAACGAGTCGTTAAGCTCGAAGTACAAGAAACGCCATACAAGACGATGGAAGTGGGTTCCGACAACTTTTACTGTGAATCGTTAGAGTCGTAATTAAAGCCAGCTCGTAAATTGTATTTTTTTTTACATTTTTATAGTTGTTTCCTTACCATCTGAAGAAGCAAACAGCTAAACGAGATTGCTCGAGAACGTGATGCTATATTTAAACGTCGCTATCCTAATTTGTATACTCTTAAGTAAACTTGGTAGTACGAAAAATGTAAAAAAAAAATAAAGAGAAGGAAATATTCCGAAGAAATATTTTGAAAGAAGTGCTTTCCAAACCACACTTACTATAAATTGCATTTCCTATTCTACTTCGAGCTACCATCCCGTCACGTTAATATATTCTATCAGTTATGTCTACATTCCATAAGTTTCAGTTCGCGTTCGTAGGAAGCGTAGGCGGATGTCGAGTCGTCCAGTCGATTTTTTTGCGACTATGGCGCGAAAATCGCGAGCCGCAAGCGTAATTAGTTGTCCAGCCACATTTTTTTTTTTTTTTTTTTTTTGGCCCGTATGAAAATCGCGTATTTCGAGCGTCCCGGCGGGAGGAGCACGATTTAATACCGTGCTCGCCCGAATACGTTTCCTTTGTTCTCCACTTTTCCGCGCGCTTTGTGGAACTGACTTTGTCCGCGTCCGCCGGATTTACGATCCGGAATTTTTATTCCATGAGCGCCACGGGGACATCGTAAAGTCCCAAGGAATAACGGGAGATTACCGTTTCGCGTCTTTTAAAGGTGACGTCTATTCGGCTCGTTTGCCCGCGCTTTTCATCTTCTGTTGACCGAGGCCTTTGCCGAGGGACCTCAGATCTGAAACGACCTCTGCCGCTGTTTGCTGAATACAGCCAATGTTTGAGAACTGGTCGATTCTCCGATGCATAAATTTCATTTAATTTTTTGAGGAACGGAACCTTTTGAATCACTCATAATGAAATTACTCAGTTTACGAGGTTGGTAGACGTCCTCGACAGATTTGGCGCAGGATACATTATTACTAATTATTTCAACACATTCGCAACCGATAGATATACGTTTCTAATACCGAGTACTGACGAAAATAATACAATTTAGAAGCTGGACATCGTAAATTTATTTTCGAATGATATGTTTTGAGATATCAATGTTGTAGATGTGTAGCGTATAAAGTAAACAGATTTTCATAATTTTTTCATAACCAGGAATAGAATTTGAAGTGACGTAAATTCACGTAAGCAGTCGCGAATATGTTAACTACTACTTTAGTTTCCTTCGTTTTCTTTCGAGTTTTGGTCTCCCATTCGCAAACCATATTTCTCAGTTAATCCCTTGTTACGCATTAAAAAGATCGACGGTAGATTAACCGAAGGAATAAATTCGAGACCGTAATTCTGTCTCTCAGAGGCGACGGCTGTTAGGCACGTTTGTTCGCGCTTTTCATCCTACGCTGGTCGAATACAGAGGCCCGAGCGAATCTCTGATGTTCGTTTTTGGAAACGTACACGACTCGCCGGAAACGTGCACACGGTAAATTACAATGCGTCTCTTAGCACACACGACGGTGAAAAGCCAGCTTCGAAGTCCGTTTTGCTTGAAAATAACCTCAACATTAAATTTATCCTTCGCTAGCTTCTGCGGTATCTCGAGAGAAATTTCGATATAAAGGAGCCATTGTTCACGAATTTCTTCATCGATTCGTTACATTATTTTAAGTGGTCGAGTAGTCTCTCGTTTTCGAATTCATTTAAACCTGCAAAATTAATCGAATAATGGTTACCTAACCCATTCGCTGTCAGGCAAATTTAAAGCGTCAAATTTAAAAAATTCATACTAGCGCATGCTTTGTAAGAACAGAACGATCGATAACAAAGCAAAGAAATTATCGACTTCTAATCCCTCAAAATTATTTATCGCCGTCGTTATTAAGCGAGCAGCGCGGCTGGCATTTCGGCGATGTCTTGGATAATTTGATGCGTTACGATCGCGCCATGGCGACCGGAAGTCTTGGGCCAACTCGACGAAGTCTTAGCATACTTGCTCCTTATCGAACGCGAACGAGCGTCGGGCAAATTTGCCGAATAATAAAATTTCACGTAAACGAGATCTCCGGAGCTCTTTTCTACTTCAAAGTATCATTTCAGTGTTTTAATATCGTACTCGATACGGTTGGAATTATATAGCTTCAGAGCAGTTCAAAATCTACGAACCTGATACTATCAACCGCCGTGTTCATCCTTTATTTTAACAGCTTTTCAAGCAGGAAAAGTTCGTCGCGATAACAAATAAACAAACGACTAGAGTAAACAAGAAATGTCCCGATCGGATACGTTGGGCTCGAATAACAGGATTTTCGAGTGCCGGTTCGTTGGAACGATGAATAAACACGACGTGATTACGCGTGCCGGTGGCTGTTAGCGAGAGAAGGAGAGAGCTCGCGAAGGATCAAATTATGTCGGAGATATTAAATCCTCGAAATTGATCTATTGGCCGTATTAAATCACGTATACCCGCCGCGACGCCTGTAATTAATATTCAACGTTCTCGCGGGCGCTAGTGTATCAAAGTCACTCGACTATAGCATTCGTTGCGTCGCAGTTGATCCACATACGTAGTAAAAACGTAGTAGAAATGAATCTTTTTACTATCGATACACACAAGTATGAATATTGAAGACGTACATTCCCACTCGAAGCAGTAAAATGATATCAAGACGGATTCAACGATTCGGAAAACTCTAAAGTAGTCTCCATTCGCGACGAACGAACGACAGATCAACAACAGCGGTATGATTTTCGATCGCGTTTTCCCGATTCGATAACACTGCTCGTCATTCGTCTTTCGAGGGTTATCACTGTTTCCGCTCTTCACTTTCAGAGGGACTATTAGAGATCGTCGAGCACGTCCCGTAGAACGACGAAACGTCGCCTAAACGGGACAAGCCTCGGACGAGATAAGAGCATTACGACTGCCCGTTCGCGAACTACCGTCCTGAAAAGACTGTTATCCAGCAATTAACACTCAGGATCCATCCAGAGCGTCGGGGATCCTAATGGATGTGCCGGGATTTAATGGCGCAGTTAATCCTGATGTACGATCCTGCTGCGAAACAGGATTTTCCAGCAGGACGTCTTGCGTTTCAAGGCGCAGGTGAACGTCAAACCGTAATGCAACGCGTGACAGCCCCGGGATGGCTTTCACCATCGACACCAAATCCTGTCGTTACTCTTCGTCGCTGGGAACCAACGCAAACGATTAGACTTGGACGTACGATGCTCGTAACTTATTAAATATTCTTGGTTCATTTGAATTTTAGTAGTGACCGTTGCATTAAAGATGACAATTGTTGAGAATGCTCGAGGTTTAAAAAGAAACCGCTATTATC